GAGAGAGAGAGAGAGAGAGAGAGAGAGAGAGAGAGAGAGAGAGAGAGAGAGAGAGAGATCTGGAACAAACAATTCCTTAGGAGATTACAGCAGTTTCTTGAGACCAATTCAGCCTGTGGGGCTACAAGCTAGACAGAGAGGTGCTATAATGGTTCAATTCTGGAGTAGGACTGAGAAAGTACAAGTCAAGTCCTATGACAAACCTTTAAAAGGAGTGGACAGGTTTAGCCTGCATAAGAAACGATTGAAGATATATAATGATCTACCTTCTTCAGATATCAAACGGGTTGTCGTATAGAGAAGGAAATGGGCTTGTTCTCTGTTACCCCCCCCCCCAAAAAAAAGGCAGAAGTAAGACAGTTGGAACTACAGAGTATATTCATCAATAGAAGAGAATATTTATAGCTTCGGGTTAAACTGTAGGATCCTTGCAGCTCTCTGAGCTTGGTTGTTTTTTGAAAATGCTTCACTACCCAAGTAGGTAATATTATCAGTGCCCCAGTTGGGTAATGAAAAGTCTGCAAGAAAACCACCAAGTTCAGAGATCAGCAAGGACCCCAGAGTATATTCAGTTTAAATATTAGGAGAAATTTACTAATAGTAAGATTTGTCAACCAATGGAACAGGTTTCAGTATGGTATGGTATGGTATGGTATGGTATGGTATGGTATGGTATGGTATGGTATGGTATGGTATGGTATGGTATGGCATGGCATGGCATGGCATGGCATGGCATGGTACGGTACGGTACGATGCGTCCCCACCTAAGTTGCATTAACAGAGGCATTCAATTGAGATTGGGTGAGGTACTAATACCACTCTATAAAGCCTTAGTAAGACCACACCTAGAATACTGCAACCAGTTTTGGTCACCACACTATAAAAAAGATGTTGAGACTCTAGAAAGAGTGCAGAGAAGAGCAACAAAGATGATTAGGAAACTGGAGGCTAAAACATATGAAGAACGGTTAAGGAACTGGGCATGACTAGTCTGGTGAAGAGAAGGAGCAGGGGAGACATGATAGCAGTGTTCCAATATTTGAGGGGCTGTCACAGAAAGGAAGGGGACAACCTATTTTCCAAAGCACCTGAAGGGCAGACAAGGAATAATGGATAGAAACTGACAAAGGAGAGATTCAACCTAGAAATAAGGAGAAATTTTCTGACAGTGAGAACAATAATCAACGAAATACTGTAGATTGCCTTCAAATATTGTGGAGCTTCATCACTGGAAGCTTTCAAGAAGAGACTGGACTGCCATCTGTCAGAAATGGTGTAGGGTCTCCTGCTTGGGTGGGCGGTTGGACTAGATGACCTACATCTAGTCTCTTTCAACTGTGTTATTCTATTCATCTCTGGAGGTGTTCAAACATGTTTTAGTAGATCTTGCATCAAGTGGGGGATGGGCAGGATGAACTCTGTGGAACTATCCAGCTCTATCATTCTGTGATACTACCCTGGAATCAATGACTCAGTGGGTGAGCTAATGATTCATTTGGAATATGGCAAGGCTTTTGTTCTAGAATAAAGAATATGAATCTGCTAGTAACCATTTTTCATTGACTTCTCATTCAACGGATCCTAATTCAAAGGTCTATGGAGATTCTCAATCATCCAGGTCATGGTTGTCCCAATGGTGCTTTTCAAAAGGCAACTGGACATCTTGGTTGAAAGAGTTAAAAGAGTTGGATAATGTGATTAAAGAGGTCATTTAATTCTGAATTTAAACTAAGTCTCTCAGCAGCAGGATTTCTAGTCAGATGGGCCCCCGTAGTGTCTCCAAGTGCATATATTTGCTTTATTATTCTGTGGTCAGGGGATTGTCTTGTTGAAACTTTTTTCTGTGAGTTGTGGGACTGTGCTTGAATGAAACACCCTCTGGGGTTGTCATTCCTGAACTGCAAGTGGCTATCGAAACTTTCTTATCTCACAAGAGCGTTTTCAGAACTTAGTAAGCTGTTACTTCAGAACAATGTTCCACTTGGGCAAATAGAGAACATGACACAATTTGGAAAGGTGAACTGAAAATCTGGCAGAGGAAAACCGAAGCTAACAAGATCGCTTCTTTCTGCCAGAATCCCCCAGCTGGCATACAATGAACTCTCTGTGGGACTGCCCTTGAAGACCATGCAGAAGTGACAACTTGTTCACAATGTGGTAGTGTGAATAGTTATGGGCATAGCTTAGTACATCCATGTAACACATCACTGCAGTTACCAGTAGCTATTGGATGCAGTTCATGGTGCTACTTTTCATCTGTAAAGACCTGTAGAGTGCACTCAGTGGTGGAATTCAGCCGGTTCGCACCAGTTCGGCTAATTTTTGTTGCCCTGGCCCAGAATGGACTTCCGGAAGCAGCATCTACACAGAGAACCAGTTGTTCACATATTTGAATCCCACCACTGAGTACACTGTAGATTAGAACATGGATTGCCTACCTCCCATTATGTTTATCCTTCCAGTAAGATCCAATAGGATCCAGAAATGTGCCTTTAATATCAGAGCTTCTACAGCAATATTCCCTCAAAATCTGCAGAGATCCAGGCTTGTTTGCCTTCAAGGAAGCTCTGAAGATCTATCTAGGTGTAACCTATAGGTTGCACTTTTTGAATTAGTTGCTTTTCTTTTCTCCACTGGAATTCTTTCTTCAATTGTTCTATTGTTTTTCATCTTTCCTTTCCTTCCTCTTCCATTTCTTTCTCTACCCCTTTCCTTTCCCAGTCTTTCTTTCTCTCGTTTTGCACCCTCTCTCTCTCTCTCTCTCTTCTTTGCCTGTCTTTTTTCTTTTTCTCTTTTTTCCTCTATTTCTGACTTTCTTTCCCTCCTTTCCTTCTATTCTCCCCCTTTTCCTTCTTTCTTTCTCTCCTCTTGTTCTTTCAGCCTTTCTTTTTCTTTCACCCTCTCCCCCCCCCTCTCTTTCTCTCTCTCTCCCCTTCTCTTTCCCCCCTCATCCACCCCTCCCTGCCCGTTTCTGACTCACTTTCTCCGTGTGACTTTTCTGCCTCCAAGGATCACACCCGCAGCCGAAGGAGGGCCCTTTACTCCGAACCCACCCAGTCGGCCAATTCGGGCTGAGGAAGGTGGAGCGTATCACGTGGATATATAGATAGGGTGGAGGGCGGGAGGGGGAGAAGATTTCAGGCACTCCAAGCTGTCGCCGGGCTACAATAACATCGCTACTCCTCTATCCGTCAGTGCATCAACTTCACCATGGGGAAGTTACTTGGGCTATGCGCTGTGGTTCTGGCTTGTATCACTATTGGTAAGAGGGACAATCCGTCGCGTTGCGGAACTCTCTGGTTTTGCCTATGACCCTCCGCTCTCCTTACCCTTCACTTCTTTTTTTCTCGTTCTTTTCTCATCCTTCTATTAGTTTGGTTGTTGCCTGGTTTTTCACCAGGAGATCTCTCTCTCTCTCTCTCTCTCTCTCTCTCTCTCTATCTATCTATCTATCTATCTATCTATCTATCTATCTATCTATCTACCCCTCTCTCTCTTTCTCTCTCTCTATTCTCTATCAATCTCTATTTGTCTGTCTGTCTGTCTGTTATCCCTGGGTTCAAAACTATTGGGCAACTATCCGTTTACTTATTTGAGCTTTCAAATGGACAAAAGTACAGTGTCCTTTCTTTGGGGCCCCTCTGTCCCAAAACACATTGGGAATTAGGAAAATAAGTGCAATTTGGATAATTAGGCTAATGTTATTTTTTTTTTAAAAAAAAAAAGAGCAAACAAATGCTTACTTTAACAAATGCAGTCCACAAAAAATGTTCCAAGGGTTATGTCCGAAGCAAACAGGATGGCTAGACATGTTTGGATGTCTTACTCAAGCTATTTTTGATAACTGTCACAAGAGGAAGCTGCTACAATCGGCCTTATTGTGCTCAAAGACCTAAGGCCCTCATGAGATTATTATTATTTGCTTGTAGAACAAGTCTGAGTGAAAACAGCTGAGAAACAGTGCCACGAAAGTAGAGAAATTCAGAAAGAAAAAAAATAGCTCTGTGTGTGTGTGTGTCTCAAAAAGGGAAGATCAGGTTTACTAGCATATCAGTAAGAAATGCAAAGAGATAAGCCCCCCCTATAGAAAAAAGAATATAGCTATTTCTCAAAAACAGGGATGGAAGCACCTCTCAAGATGTGTTTCGGCCAGCTTCTCCTTTTTCCCCACACCTTAAGTTTATTCTGTCTCAGTTCCTGGGTTGCTCTTAAAAATAACATGTCTTTAAATTAATATGTGCCTCCAAGGATCACACCCGCAGCCGAAAGAGGGCCGTTTACTCCGAACCCACCCAGTCGGCCAATTCGGGCTGAGGAAGGTGGAGCGTATCACGTGGATATATAGATAGGGTGGAGGGCGGGAGGGGGAGAAGACGTTTGCCTACATGTTTCTTAATACATACATTTGGAAAGAAGCTTCTGTAGCATCGTATAATTTTTCTCTGCCCGCTCTGTTATCACACACAGATTTTGTGTGCACTTTTCAGTGCATACTTTGTATTGAGTTGCAAACTGCATTGCAAATTCAGTAAAGCCTGAATCCTGGTTTGGGGGTGCGCGGGTGTGTGTGTGGGGGGGGGGGGGGTTCAGTATATATAAGGAAGTGAAAATATCATTGTTTCCCACTAAATTGATGTAGTGTTTGGTGTCATTAATAAAGAGCAACAGCCGTTGTTGTGCAACAGGTTCGTTTTTTCTTTAAAAACAAAAAAAACCCAGGTGAAATTGGAAATAGAATGCAGCCCAAACGAGTTTTCTCCTGGCCAAACACCTATGAACTATGCAAAAGTCAATGAAAGATTTAAATCCATCAGGGGGGGGGGGGCGGAATGTTTTGAGACATTCATCCCAAACAGCAGATCAGCTTTATAGCAAACAACCTACAGCTTAAAATAGATCAGGGTGGGTGATCTAGAGACGCAAAACCTCACACGGCCCAAACTAATGCTGGCTTTGCCTTATGTGTGAATAAATACCTTCTTTTAAGATGGTAGATGACAGCCTGAGTAATAGTTTCATAATTTAACAACATCCCGCAAAGTATCTCTGCCTGCAGACTAACGACATCATAAAGAAACAGGCTAGATAATTAAAGAAACCTGTTTGCCCTGGGGAAGGATTTGCATCCACAGCTTTCTTTGGCTGTAGCAACTGAAGAAGGGAAGTAAGGTTGGAGCAATCAAATTTGTTTGGGTGTGGAGCTGTATTTTTTACATCCACCAAACAAAAGCAGGGAGTATACATGGAATCCCAGTTCCAATCTGTGTAATATATTGGTGGGCTGTGGTCCAATCTGCACGATTAGTGTTGGCTAGGGGTCTTTGGCAAATATCTTTTCCAGCTTTCATGTGGATATGGGTGTGGTACAACCCAGGTCACTAATCTAGCCCTGGAGCTCCATGTGCCGTTCTTTTGAAGCAAGCTGCCATGCCCTGCTTGTAAACAACATTCCTCTTACATAAGAAGCCTTACAACTAGGGCAGCGGTTCTCAACCTATGGGATCGATCGACCATTTCACGGGGGTCGCCAAACAAGGCTGTCCGCCATTTTTTTCCCCTTCTCCGGTGGGTGCCTTACCTCCCTTGAGCTGGGCCAGCTGGTGGTCGGCCTGCTCCGTCTCTGCCGCTTGCCAGCTATGCCTCAGCCGGCGCAGGGGGCGGAACCACGCATGCACGGTGCTCCCTGGCAGGGAAAGTCCGCGACTTACGACCGGTTGGGTAGTCCTCGACTTATGACCGGTTTAGTCCTCGACTTACGACTGGTTTAGTCCTCAACTTACGATCGGTTGGGGGTCGCAGCATTAAAAAGGTTGAAAACCACTGAACTAGGCTTGGCTTAAAAGCAGTTTTGTGCCTTTTTGCCTCCTAACCCCAGCCATTCCTACCAAAAACTCAGGATACCCCCCAAACTTTGTCCTAATTCTTCTGCTTGGGGGAAATCTGGGGCAATTGTTTTACAAAATGTCCTAGAAAAAATTTGACACGCCCAATCCCACAAATAGAGAGAGGCTACTTAAGACTCTTTAGACTCTTTCTCCAGTCTGAAAAGCATCCTGAATTTTATTATCTGCAACTTGGGGTATACTGTAAATTTTAACCTATACACAGGTGTTATCTTGGAAAGAATTGTGCTTGAAATGGAATCTGAATGTTGATGCTACAACAGAAATGTTAATTCGTCAACAAGGAATGTTCTTTTTTTTATGGTGCTACATTGTTTGTGAAAGCAAAGCCTCAGGAAATCTCTTTTGCTTTGTGATCTGAACATTAAACAAGTTGGCAGAACCGGGGTGGGTCCTCCTGCCAATTTATTTCAAAATATTGAATTCACTATTAACTCAATAGGGGGTGCCATGGCCCAGTGGTTAAGCTGACAGCCTGTGTTCAAGACCCATGTGCTGCAAGACGGGGTGAGCTCCCATCCTCACCCCAGCTCTTGCCAACCTAGCAGTTTGAAAGCATGCAAATGCGAATAGATAAATAGGTACCACCTCAATGGGAAGGTAACAGTGTATTGTGTAATTCACCGTAGAGTTATGGTGGCCACATGACCACAGACGTATCTTCAGACAATGCTGGCTCCATTGGCTAAGTAACAGAGATGAGCATCGTGCCTTAGAATTGGACACAACTGGACAGGGGGAAACCTTTATCATTATTAATAACAATAGCAATAGCATTTAGACTTATATGCTGCTTCACAGGGCTTTACAGCCCTCTCTAAGCAGTTTACAGAGTCAGCATACTGCCTCCAACAATCTGGGTTCCTCATTTTACCGACCTGGGAAGGATGGAAGGCTGAATCACCTTGAGCCAGTGGGAATCGAACTGCAGAACTGCTGGCAGCTGGCAGTCAGCAGAATTAGCCTGCAGTATACTGCATTCTAACCACTGCGCCACCACAGCTTAACTCAGTGGTTCTCAACCTGTGGGTCGGGACCCCATTTGGGGTCGATCGACCATTTCATGGGGGTCGCCAAGCAAGGCTGTCCGCCATTTTTTGTCCGCCATTTTTTTGTCCGCCATTTTTTTTCCCTTTTCCGGCGGGTGCCTTACCTCCCTTGGGCTGGGCCAGCTGGTGGTCGGCCTGCTCCGTCTCTGCCGCTTGCCAGCTACCCTCGGCAGGCGCAGGGGGCAGAACCACGCATGCGTGGCGCTCCCGGGCAGGGAAAGTCCTCGACTTACGACCGGTTGGGTAGTCCTTGACTTACGACCGGTTTAGTCCTCGACTTACGACCGGTTTAGTCCTCGACTTACAACCGGTTGGGGTCGCGGCATTAAAAAGGTTGAGAACCACTGGCTTAACTCAAAGGAACTTTATAAAGCAACTTCAACTGGTCTACCAGAACAGGACCTTCAAGGTTGATATTTGAGAGATCACTTAAATAATTAAACTCAAAGGAGAGGGAGGGTAGTCTAGTGGTTAGGGCACCAGGCTAGAAACCGCGAGACGGTGAGTTCTAGGCATGAAACCTAGCCAGGTGAATTTGGACCAGTGATTCTCTCTCAGTCTTCAATGTCAGTCAGATTTAGGGGACAAGCCAGTCGATCGATTCCTGCTGTGAAAAGGCACATAGATCTCAGTACTTGCCAGAATTTCGGGGGCCAAATACTAATCTTCAGGTTTGACTCAATGAAAACCTGAAATTAGATCTTTGATATCCCAACCCGAAATGTTATCATCACCCGCCTTTCATTGCCTGGCAATCTAAATCAAAGTCAAATGTTTACCTAACGCTAAGAATGGTTAAGAAGCAAAATGTATGGAGTGAGGTTCCTTTGCCCTTGATAAGGATTGCAGCTCCTTCATGGCAATTGGCAAGAGAACTAGCATTGCGTGTAATCACTGGATGAGGAGGGGTTTGCCTTGCCCCCTCTTTAAACCTGATGCAAGAGTTACCTTGAAAGCTGGGCACTCTCGTTCTCCTCCAGCGATTCTAAAGAAGATCATTGTTTTCAACAGTTCAAGTAGAAACAGAGAGAACTAGCAAATTGTTTCCACTCACCAGTGATGAAAAACAGGTGGGAAGCAGGCAAGATTTAGATGCATCCAACCCTGAGCCATGAATTTTTTATAGGGGTGTGAGATCTAATTGTCCTGGATCTGGCACTGACATGAATAACAGGAAAATCAATGAATACCTAGTTCATTCTTCTATCATTGTTCTGTGAGAAGACCAAAATATGTTTTGCTATAGACGTTGTCAGTTTTTCCACTGTAAGCATAAATAGGAGCAAACATTTCCCCAGAATCTCAGTTGA